AGAATTGAGACTACCGTAAGCTGGGACTCAGCTGCGTAAAATAACTGTAGGGGGAAACCGACGCACCACCAAAAGTCTGCGTCGGACCAGCTGAATAACAGACTCATTCTGGACGTCATAATCAGCCAGAGTGGACCTATTTTCAAGCTGCTTTCCATCGAATATCAATCGTTGCTGGTCGGGTGGAATGCCCATTTTGCAGCGAATCCTTGTCATCAGTTCATCGATTGTGTCATGAGGTTCGACCGCAAATTTATGGCCTGCCCAGCCAATCCTGTTGAAGAGAGAAACAAATGGGTACCACGAAGAGGCACCGAACGTTGATAAAACACACACATTTTCACAAAGATGTGCATATGTACTCTGTGGTGTCGTAGTCGGATGGGTTGCGTCCTTGTTCGAGAAGACACTCGTAAGATCACTTCTATGGTGAGGGCGTCGCTGAGGTTGTTGTTGGGACGTTGGTTGGTGAGTTGGATGCACCCCCCGCCAAGCACGCAATCGTTAGGATATAAGCACTCTCTGTTGCGTTCCCACGCCCCCTTTGACTGTAACAGTGAGCTTTTTTTGCCATTTTGCCAATTCGCGTTTTCCCGTTACTGTATCTCACTTTAAGGATGTCACTTCACATACTGTCGTGCGCTCGACCGCCCCAAGACCATACTTGTAAAGCATTCCTCAGAATGGACTGATTTTGGAACACGAGGACGAAATGGCACCCGGCCGTCTCTTGACGCCATCAGGCGCCGCTTCCAGCAAATCCTTCCCAACCCAACGGGAGTGGCGTATTATTGGGTCTGGAAAATTAGACAATGATCCATGAGGAGGGCAGCCAGCCAAGTTGTTCGGTGTAGTTGTGTCGTGATCGAGGTATGATCTTCTTCACATGCTACTTTATGGGGCCATTCAGTTCAGTGCCATTTGGTGTTTCTGGAAAAGCAACTCACTGCTATTACAGAGATGTCAAACGCTCTTAGGCATTCCACTCACGTCGTACGGGGTGTTTCCACGCTGTTGTACCAGGGTGCGAAAGATCCTGGTACATCTCCGTTTACGTTGATTAGCCCTGCCAGTTACACTCCGCGATATAATCGCTTCTTCATTGCATATCCCACTACTTGCGGACTCAGAACCCTCGCCCAACCTCTCTGTCCATCATTTATCAACTGACAACAACGATGTGCCTGGCCCACAGATGTTGGTGGTTGAATCATGCATGTTACGTTCACTTTGGCCTGGGTTTTCGCTACACTATAAACTGTCCCGTCCCCCTTTCACGCCCCCACCATCCGTAAGTTTGGTTTGTTCCTGCAATCCAATCCCCATCGCGTCAGTTTGTCTGCTAAACCCTCCCTGTCCTTCATTTTCCTCAACAACTCTGTGCCTGGCCCGCAGATGACACTGTGCTAACTCTGCTCCCGCCTCCTCTCCAAATGCCTTTCCCCTCGCGTGTTGGATTCATGTCTGTTCATCCCTATGCGAAAGAATCTGCTGCCAATGCACAGTCCCATCGTGAAGATGTGGCTGCCTCCACCCGAAAACGTTGACAAAAGATTTCTACTAGACAAAATCTATTGTTAATCGGCTCACTGTTCACTGGCAACTCTTCAACTTCAACCTAGCACCCCGGAGCCTTGCTCCTCATGTCTGAACATGTGGGTTGGTGTTGATATAATGGTTCCAAACTATTGCAACGCCTACCAAGAAAGTCGCCATCTGCCTAGATAGTCAACCAGCCATCAAGCCACCCGGACGTCAGTCTGACCAACACATCATTATCAAAATCTTGAACGAATATAATGACTTTCAGGACACACACCCCAACCTACGAATGCGCCTCGAGTGGGTTCCTGGGCAGCGTGACATTCTCGGGGTCGATGCATTTGCCAAGAAAGCAACCAAACCCAGTACCCCCAATGCCCCACGCACATCTGCCTCCCTAGCGGCTTCGCGCCAGCTACTCCGCAAGCAGGGCTCGGATGACAAACTGACCACCCTGAAAGCCACTTTCCACTGCCGTGACTGAGGCAAGGTGAAGCCGGGCACTTTTACCAAGGTCGTGGCCTCTCTCTTCCAGCTGCGGTAAGCCCATGTAGCCCTGCTGGCCTATCTAGCCAGGTGGGGGACATGTTGACTCGCCCAACTGCCACTTGTGCGACGAGCCGGAGTCGGTGGAACATTAGCTTTTCACCTGCCGCCGCTTTGGACATGGGCGCTTAATCTTGAAAAGAGCCATCCTCCTAACCTTCACCACGGGAAAATTTTCGGCCTCGCACCCAAAAATCATCCCACACACCATCCGCTTCATCCTCAAAAACTGGGTGCTTCCCACTGTATGCAACCCGGCCGATAGTCACCCAATTCTATCTGTTCTTTTCCATTTCCCCTTCTTTCTTTCCTTTTCTTGCTCTCCCTCTTTTCCAGTCTGTTTTGTTTTCTATGTTTTCGCATACTTCTCATAATAAGTATGTCCCCTGACGACTACATACTTTAAAATGAAATCATCAAAGGTATAATATTTGTGAAACATATGAATATCGGTGCTACCAGCGCGTCGTTATGGCTTGCTCGTCCCACAGCGACAACATGTTTAGGGAAGGAGCAGTATTGTAAAGACGTGCAAGCTTGAGCAGAGAGTAGAAGAGGAGATTGAAAGAGAGGAGATGTGCGTCGCCGGGCCTTCCGGGGCCCTTGCATGACCAGGGCAACGTAAAGCACAAATGACCAATTCAAAGAATGGAGAGAGAGGCTTTGAGGTCCTTTCTACTGCGAGCTCCAAGTCTTTGAGAATTGAGATTACCGTAAGCTGCATAAAATGACTCCAGGGGAAAACCGACACACCACCAAAAATCTACATCGGACCAGCTGAAGAACAAACTCATTCCGGTATCTCCGGCAACTCGCATTTCCCAGCAACAACACCACGAGGGTGTTATAAGGAGGACATTCCAAAACGGCAATGCGAGGGCAAGACAATTCTTCCCTTCACAAGAGGAGCTGAAGCCAGTGAATGGTCTGAACGAACGTGAAAGTTGGTCACCCTTACGATGGCGCATGTTGTCACTGACAGAGGCTGGGCCGAACAGCTTCGGAATTCGCGTTGAAATGTCAGCTGCAACTAACCTCAGAGCGTTCCGAATGGCGCGCATCTTGTGACACCCCCCGAAGCTCCTGCCGATTGTGATTGGAGTGGAAAAATCGAGTAAACCAAAATATGAGAGATGCAAGATTAAACGATGACGGGCGATACATAAACTGATCGGGAGAACAGGGGAAAAGGATTGTCATCACAAGCAAAGCGATGGAGGTGCGAAATCCAGGCATGAGGTGGTGTCCTCTGATTCTCCTTAGCGTGGCCGTTCGAACACACAGCTATAAGCGTTCAAGAGGATGGCCTTTACTTTGGATGCAGGAAGTCGCGTTAATGCTCTGAAGCGGGGCGGTGCGTGTGAGGTGAATGTACGGAGATGGCATTCCTAATGAAGGTAGCGGGATACTTAATAAATCAAAAGGCTAATGATTTATAGGAGTCGCAAAACAAAAGTCATCACTCCTGGGGGGAAGTGCATGCTTCGACAATACGGTTTTTTCTGGGATAGGGGGAAAGAAAGCAGTGGAAGAGTATTGTAGAGACGTGCAAGCTCCCTTGCATGTCCTGGGAAACATGATGCTCAAATGGCCCGTTCAAAGAATGGAGAGAGAGGCCTTGATATCCTTGAGGTCCTTTCTACTGAGAGCTGGATATCTCTGAGAATTGAGATTAAGTTGGGACTCAGCTCCGTAAAATAACTGTAGGAAAAAAAGCGACACACCACCAAAAGTCTACATCGGACCAGCTGAAGAACAGACTCATTCTGGACGTCAGAATCAGCCAGAGTGGACCTATTTTCAAGCTGCTTCCCATGGAATATCAATCGTTTCTGGTTGGGTGGAATGCCCGTTCTGTAGTGAATCCTTGTCATCAGTTCATTGATTGTGTCCTGAGGTTCGACCATAAATTTGACCTCCACCCGGCCAATCCTGTTGAAGAGAGAAACAAATGGGCACCATGCACAAAGAGACGCCGGACGTTAATAAAGACACACATTTTTACAAAGATATGCATGTGATCACGAATGCACTCTGTGTGGCGTCGTAGTCGGATGGAGTGCGTTTTTGCTCGGGAGGACACTTGTGCTCGCAGCAAGATTACCTCTATGGAGAGGGTGTTTCTGGGAAGGAAGGGGAAGAGGGGAACTCGGTTTGTTGTTGGTCGGTGGGTTGGTTGGTTTTGAATGCTGCTCCAGGGTTGTGCCGAGGCACTCAGTTCATAAAAATTGCCGACCTCTCGACCATTCCGTTTTATTTATTGTCCCATAGCCCAGTACGGTAATAGCGAGGGTTTTGCCACTTTTCCATTTCTCGCGTTCTTCAGGAAGGCTTTATCTCGCTTCTTACGACCGCGATCGCCACATGGCCACCTCCTTGCTTTTGATTCCCTTAACTATTTGCTTATTTCTTGTATTCTGTTTTAATTTTGCCTACAACTGCCCTGTGATCGACAACGATCGCGATGTCACTTCACATTTTATGTACATGGGGTGCACCCGTCCGCCCAATATTACACTTGCGTGTGGATAATATCGATATCCTGGAGTATGGGAAGGTAATTCAATAACCGATGATTGACCAGCTGAAATGGATATTGGCTATATGTAAATGGATATCATGGCAGCCAGGGCTGTGTGCTTTACGATAATTGGGTGCGGGGTCGGACAGCGAACAAGTCCCGGGAAGGAGAAGCAGGGTTGAAAGAAATGGAGCTGTGTTCCCCGGACCGAACAGAAAGGAGCCGATTGATTGGATTTTTGGAAGAAGCCATACACGAGGCAAGGCTGGACGAAACAAGTTGCCCATTTTTGCTGGTTCGGGTCTCTTGCTAATGGTGCCATCGGGCACAGCTTTCATGCGTGCACCAGCACGTATCAGCACTCGTTCTTCCCAACCCAAGGGAGCGGTGTATTACCGTCCGAACAAATGGGTAATTATGTGCAAGAGCAGGCTGCTGCTGGGTGTAGCCAAGTTGGCCGCTGATACACTGGGGGTTGGTAGTAGTTTGTTATGGACTCCAGCGTCTATGACATGACTTCGTAATATTATATTAGATAGAGGGGGCCGTTTTCTGATGATTGGAGAAGTCTTTCCCTCTTGAGGTTGTCCTGAGCAAAACGGGGTGGGAGTTTTAGTGTTAGCCGCTGGGCCAGCGTTCACTGTCATGTCTAGTCTCGGTGCCAGACTCTCTGGTTCCTGGGGCCGAAAATACGCTTCTTCCCATTCCCCTGGCCCGGATACCGGGGGTTCATCAATCGGCCTCATTTGTATGGGTGCACTCTTTGCAAGTACAGCACAGACAGATTGAGGGTAGAGCGCATCCCGGTTCGATAATAAAGAATATCGTCTCTGGTTCAATGTTGCCTCTGCGCTTAGATTTCTGGTACACAATACTCTGTGTTCTCCAGTAGGTGATACTTTACTGGGGTTCGGGCTGTTTGTTCCTCCTAGCAGGATGTCTGAGCGCTCGCACACGGTCGAGCTCATGAGCACTATGAAGTCTACATGTGCGAACCCACTCGTCCTGAACTTAACGCAGCCGATGGAATCAATTTGGTCCCAGGAGGTCCAATTATTTGGCGATGTGGCTGTTTCTCGACTTTGCGTGCCGCTTTGTTAAGGATGAATGGCTGGATCGACAGGCATGCACTCGAGGACCATTGTCTGAACCCTCGCAGATTAGATGGTCCTCTGGGCTTCGCCGTTAAGATATAATCTACCCACTCCTGGATCCATCCGTGTGACGGCACATATATATGTTGAGGAATAGGCCTTCGCGCCACTAAAAGCTTCCGTCCAGTGGGCTCAAAGAGAGACCGCCTTTCATCAACCAGGTAGAGATATATGCACAATAGGGAACCCTTTCATTGTGAACCGAGTACACTAAATGACATGCGACGACATGCAACAAACAGACACGAGAAAGAGTAGGCAAGGCGATGACGTGAAGTGATACTTCTGTACGGTCATGAAGGCGTTCATAGACCACCACGAAGACGTAAGACAAGGTGAAGAGTGGACTCCTTCTGAATGTTATAATCAGACAGAGTACGCCCGTCCTCAAGTTGCTTGCCAGCGAAGATCAAACGCTGCTGGTCGGGAGGAATACCTTCTTTGTCCTGTATTTTCGTCTTCACGTTGTCAATCGTATCGGACGACTCGACCTCGAGAGTGATCGTCTTTCCGGTGAGACTATAAAGAGAAAAAAATTATTCAGTATTCCTACGCCCATAATCCACACAAGGCTCACGTCTTGACGAAAATCTGCATGCCACCACGCAGACGAAGGACAAGGTGGAGTGTTGACTCCTTCTGAATGTTGTAATCCGAAAGAGTGCGACCATCCTCGAGTTGCTTGCCCGCAAAGATTAAACGCTGTTGGTCTGGGGGGATGCCCTCCTTATCCTGTATTTTCGTCTTGACATTGTCGATCGTATCGGAGGACTCGACTTCCAGGGTAATCGTCTTTCCAGTGAGAGTCTTGACGAAAATTTGCATTCCACCACGAAGACGAAGAACCAAATGAAGCGTTGACTCTTTCTGAATGTTATAATCCGAAAGGGTACGACCGTCTTCAAGCTGCTTCCCGGCGAAAATTAAGCGCTGCTGATCCGGGGGAATCCCCTCCTTATCCTGTATCTTAGTCTTGACATTGTCAATCGTATCGGAAGACTCGACTTCCAGTGTAATTGTTTTGCCAGTAAGGGTCTTGACGAAAATCTGCATTCCACCACGAAGACGAAGGACCAAGTGAAGGGTAGATTCTTTCTGAATGTTATAGTCAGAGAGTGTACGTCCATCTTCCAGTTGCTTTCCGGCGAAGATCAGGCGCTGTTGGTCTGGAGGAATGCCCTCCTTGTCCTGAATCTTAGTCTTGACGTTGTCAATGGTATCCGAGGACTCGACCTCAAGTGTAATAGTCTTCCCCGTCAACCTAGCGGTGGATTCGGCCGATCAGCAGGCTGCACAGATGAAGGAACGAGAAGTGATCGTCACTTACGTCTTAACAAATATTTGCATGCCACCACGAAGGCGAAGGACGAGGTGAAGAGTCGACTCCTTCTGAATGTTGTAATCTGACAACGTGCGACCATCCTCCAACTGCTTGCCGGCGAAGATCAAGCGCTGCTGGTCTGGAGGAATCCCCTCCTTGTCTTGGATCTTGGTCTTAACGTTATCGATCGTGTCAGAGGATTCCACCTCGAGGGTGATGGTCTTGCCGGTGAGGCTGTGAGGAGTGGTGATGAGTAAGGGTGTTGGGTTCGACGGGAGAAAGGACTGGATATGCATAGCGAGAGGGACCTACGTCTTCACAAAAATCTGCATGATATCTCGCGTTTCTAGAAAGAAAGAACGGACATCAGCCTCTGGGAGGGTGACGCAAGAAGGGACAACGGGCGCGCCCACAAAACTACATACAAGGTGAGGTTACTAGAAGATCGGGCGAATGGGCGAGGTCAGCCATGAGGCACATTGCATGTCAGAAACGTTCCCTTGCTCACCTACAGCTCTGAGAGGTGGTAGTGGTGGAGGATCAAGCTGAGTGGAAGTCGATCGGTCTTTATATCGGTTCTCGCAGCTTATCTCCGTCGGACTTATGGCACAGCTTACTCAATGTAACTTATTTCTCGGTTCTGGCTAAGTCATTAGGCCTTTAATCGATCAACCGGCGTCAAGTGCCAACGCTGTGTTGGCGCCATACGGCTATACTCATCACTACCGTTAATACAGGCGGTTGCACGACTTTGGTCGAGTGGCGCAACTTGCCGTATGCTGGGACATGAGTGGCGTGTGTCCTCAGCTGTGCCGTCTTAACTCCAAGAATTTGTAATTTGTGCGTCAGTTTCCATGCTCGAGCTTGGGTACCTCATGGGGATGCATCACGGAGCTTAATGCATGCCACCGACCGATCTCCGCCTCGTTTTGCTATCTAGATCTGATGAGGTCAAGAGAGAAGTGAGGGGATGCAAAGCATGCCCAAGTGGGGCTCGAGGAGATTTCAATTAGCCAGATCAGCCCGGAATCCATTCCACGCTTGAAAACTGGACATAGGAAACACAAGAGGGCTGATAGGTCTACGTAAATCCACGAAAATCGTCTTTGAGCTGCCTAATGCGATCGATCACCAAGCCGTTATCCGTTCTCCTTTAAGTGATACTATCAAAGCAAGCACAAATGCAAACATTGTCAACAAACTGATCGACTGAGCATGATAGGTTGGGGGCAGATGGTTGGAAGGTGGCGAGAAACCACCAGGAAGCAGAGACTGCGTTTCAGCGCTACTAGAATTGGTTTCCGCGGGCTCAGGTACAGTATCGTCATTGAACTGTGTAGTAGAGGGTGCAGGCCCACTTTCAGAGCGTGCGGGTGCGACTTCGTGCATTTGCGCAGGAATTTGGGCCTTTGGCTTGGCCGCTTCCTTGGGGGATGGCGGTGGTTTTGTATGTTTGACAATTGAAGACTCACCCTCAGGCTGGGTGACAACCCCTGGTGCAAGCTCGCAGTCTTTGAGCGTTGCACGCTCGGCTATGACGACGTTGCGGCTCACTATACAATTTTCCAGCTTGGCGCTAGAATAGAGCACAGGCACCTGAACTTCCCCGACTAAACAAACATTCTGAGAGGGATGCTTACCCATCTTTCACTTCGACGTAGCCTATCAAGGTGCAGCCGCTCAGTTTTACGTTTTTCCCAATGACGCAATGGGGTCCAACGACACTTTTCTTGATGGAGGTCTTTGTTCCTATGCGGGCTGAAGATGCAACCAGCGAATCAGAAGAAATCTGACCCTGATGCAGGGGATTGGTAGCCATCTTAGGTGGCTGCTCCGAGTGCGCCGCCGCAGAAGCCATCGCCGACAGTGCTTGTCTGTTCAGTTCAGCATATGCACCAATAGTATTCGCCCGGGCAGCGAAACCATCCTTGAGATTGTGTAGCCTCGCACTCACGCGGAAGTCCGATGTGGTGGCTTCATCCAGGATTGCGGATGCGCTCGGGGGAGAGTCATTGTAGTTCCCGCTGGGTGCGGGGGAGCTGGTGTGAGACTTGCCAAGACCGGGTGACGTTGTGGCCGTCTCCAACTGCGGCTGCGAAACTTTCGAAAGTGAAGACACACGCGTCAATGAAGGCGAAGCGCCAGCGTCTAAGATGGGGCGCGAAAGGGCACCACCAGACAGCGCAAGTTGGGAACTGGTTCTAGATTTTCCGGAGACGGTTGTCGTAGAATAGGCGATAGCAAGTTCATTGGGGTTCGTTCCAAAGTTGATGGCTATTAGAGCACATCGCATTAGAGAATTGTTCACTCGTCAAGCCAGCAGGAGCTCCAAATAGAATAACGCGTACATGAACCCCACTTCTTGATGTAGCTCTGTCTGTAACTGAAGCTCGCTAGCCAAGGTATCACATCGTCCTTCAGTGACTCTAGGCTTGGACGTTGAGCCAGCAGTTCTATGCATTTTTGTTTGACTATGTAGACGTGGGAGTCAAGGTATGTTGTGGTCAATGCGATATTCGGAAATCTGAACATCGTCAGTACAGTGTTTTAGATCAGCAAAGAAAACTTTTAATACCTCCAGAACATCGACGTTCTCAACTCCAAATCATCCCCTGTACTTTCGCCCTGCACGAAGACAAGAGAATTACTCTCCTTGTCTCGGCCAAACAAACATGGGGGTGGCCCTTGTGTTAGTGTTAGAGTAACCCAGCAGAGCAACACGACACAAAGGGCACATACCGTCTTTCCCTGTCTCTGCTCGCTCATACAACAGCACGCTGACCATCGGTGGGTGAAGGTCAACACGATAATCATTCAAGATAGAGCTGAGAGGCAGCGATCGAGGGGGAATGAAGTCGCATGGAAGCACTATTACGTCTGCCTTGGGTTAATTGCGGAATACGCGAATTTGCAACTGCTTCTGGCGGATGAGGATAATGCATCGACATACCAAAAACAGATGGGAAAACTTGCGCAAAATATCCGCTGTTCCAAGAGACATAGATTCGGAGTCCTCAATAGTCTCTAAAGTTATGGACAAGGATGAGAGTGATGGATAACTTTCGTCCGAATGCCAAATTGTTTGTGAGATGTCAGACTTGTGAGAGTGAGGCAGAATGAGTAAAACATCTGTTCAATCGAGCTAAACAAGGGGGCTTAAGAGCCATTACGCGCCCATACCAGAAATACTAGCATCTCGTAACCAGACAAGAGGATAGAATATCATGGGCCAGTTAGCGATGGGCAACAGGGCTTTTGGTGTGGGTGTCGAGGAATTCCCTCTCGAGAGCTCATTTGTGAGTGGCTGTAAGCTACGACAGAGTAGGGGGATTCACAAGAGTTTCAAGGCAGGTCCATTGAACTAGGCATGTGGCAAGCACGAGTCGTGGCGCTTACATACTTTGAACCAAAACCAGCGAGGATAACTGCCTGGAACTCCGGAATGCGAGTAGGACGTTCTGGCTTTCTGTCAAGAGGCAGCACACTCATTTGGAAAGCGCAACTATTGTTCGTGAGGCACAAGCAATAGAACAGATCTTGAAAGGCTTGATAATCTTGAGTCACCTCTGAATTCAATCTTCAGTGCCGGCATTCACCGCTATCCCACGGTCCAAGCAACCAACGACAACCATGCCGAGGATTTTCGCAGCATGCAGGACGTCATTGCTCTCCCAAGCAGCTGTTTCTCGCGCATCCTGTCCCACTCCTTCGACCCGCCTTATTGGAGACCCTACACTCATTTTTTCA